TCAATCCCCAGCACCATCAAAAAAAAAAAAGAGAAAAAATTAAACTTAACCAAAGAGGTGAAAGACCTCTACAATGAAAACTACAGCATGCTAAAAAAAGAAATTAAAGAAAAACTTAGAAGATGGCAAAATCTACCTTGTTCTTGGATAGACAGAATTAATATTGTCCAAATGGCCATACTACCAAAAGCACTATACAGATTCAATGCAATCCCAATCAAAATCCCAATGACATTCCTGATAGAAACAGAAAAAGCAATCATGAATCCCATAAATCTTTTTAAGTTTTAAATATTCAATTTAATTAATTTTTAATTTGAGAGGAGGGGGAAGAGACCTTTTGCTAGAGGGAGATTTGAAGATGAAAGGAGAGTTTTTTATTTTACTTTATTTTAATTGTTTTTTTTAGTTGTAGATGGACACAAATTTTTTAAAATTTATTTTTATGTGCTGCTGAGGATGGAACCCAATGCCTCACACATGCTAGGTGAGTGCTCTACCACTAAGCYACAATCTCAGCTCTGGTTTTGCTTTTTAAGATGGGAAAGATTGAACAACAAGTGTTGGCAAGGATGTGGGGAAAAAGGCACATTCATACATTGMTGGTAGGACTGCAAATTAGTACAGCCAATATGGAAAACAGTATGGAGATTCCTTGGAWATCTGGGAATGGAACCACCGTTTGACCCAGCTATTCCTCTCCTAAGACTCAACCCAAAGGACTTAAAAACAGCATATTGCAGGGACCCAGCCACATCAATGTTTATAGCAGCACAAGTCACAATAGCTAAACTGTGGAGCCAACCTAGATGCCCTTCAGTGGATGAATGGATAAAAAAATGTGGCATATATACACAATGGAATTTTACTCAGCATTAAAAAAAAAAATCATGGCATTTGCAGGTAAATGGATGGCATTGGAGAAGTGAAGTTAGCCAGTCGCAAAAAAAAAAAAAAACAAATGCTGAATGTTTTATCTTATATAAGGAGGTTGAAAGGAGGTTGACTCATAGTGGGGTAGGGAGGGGAAGCATGGGAGGAATAGATTAATTCTAGATAGGGAAGAGGGGTGGGAGGGAAAGGGAGGGGGCAGAGGATTAGCAAGGGTGGTAGAATGTGATGGACATCATTATCCAAAGTACATGTATGAAGACATGAATTGGGTGTCAACATACTTTGTGTACAGAGATATGAAAAATTGTGGTATATGTCTATTAAGAATTGTAATGCAAAAAAATTTTAAATAAGTATATACTTATATATTAAAAAAAAAAGATGGGAAGGATTAGAGTTCATCGCCTTGGCTTCTACCACCATGAGTCCTTCAGGATGGGGCTGGTCACCATAAAGAACAAATCAGCTTAGTCACCTGGGATTTCCAGCCCCACACTGGGTTCCAGGGTTGGAGGTTGAGTTCAACTGCCAATGGCCAGTGTTTAATCACAACCCCATAATGAACTTTCAGCAAAACTCCTAACGGAGAGCTTCCAGTATGCTGAATTTATGGTAGTGCTGGGGTGGAGGTAGGGCTGCCCAGAGAGGACAAGGAGCTCCTCCCCACGCCTCCATCCTGCCTTATTTCTCTCATTTGGCTTTTCCAGAGTTATGCATTTTTCAATAATGCTATTCCCAAGTTCTGCAAGTCATTTTAGCAAATTTTCAAGGATGAAAAGGGGATTGTGCGAAATTCCAAATTCATAGCCAAATTGCTGATCAGAAATCAGACTTATGTGAATGGGGCTGAACCCTTCATTTGTGGAGTCTGTGCTAATAATTTTGCATTAGTCAGACTTTAATGGAATTGTGGGATACCCAGCTGGTGACTGGAGAATTGGCTGGAGTCAAAGAATCTCAGGGGGCATTCTGCTATTTTGAGGTTCAGAGATACCTCTAGTGCTTCTGTATGGTTTCATCCTGAGATTGGAAGACTTTCATATCCTGCTGGGAACATGACCACTTCTGGGTTACAACTCAGATCCAAACAAACTTCTGGAACGTGACCATTTATCTCATGCCAATGAAAGGACCCGGCAACCATGAGCCTCCGCTGTACGCTATCTCACTACCTGCCCCTGGGCTCACCTGGCTATCTTTTTTAAAATATTTATCTTTTAGTTGTAGTTGGACACAATACCTTTATTTATTTATTTATTTATTTATTTGTGCATGGTGCTGAGGATCGAACCCAGAGCCTTGTGCATGCTCGGCGAGCGCTCTACTGCTGAGCCACCACCCCAGCCCCTCACCTGGATTTTAAGCCTGAATTTCCGGATGCCCGAAAAAGCTTTAAGTGCGTTCAGAGCTTGGATTTTGACACTGGTGTCCTTGTCTTCCAGCATGTCAGCCACCAACTTGATATCATCATTAGTACAAGCAGAGGCCTGGAGTGTGTGGGGAGAGACGGAAGAGGCAGGAGAAGCAGGTGTCCAGGGCCCACTGCCCCCCCCCATGTCACCAAAGATCACCCTCCCAGCACACCCCTCCCACAATCATGTAGACGCTGGTCCCAAGAGGCCCTCTGGCAGGTCAAAGGGCAGGGAGAGCATAACCCTAGCAGTCAGGTTGCGTAGGAGGGACCTCCTGCCTCCCTTTCCTCACCTCAGCCTCCAGCAAGTACACACAGCGAGTGATGCTGTGCAGGATCATGCTCCTGGTGTACTCATCGTGCTTGCACTCCAAAGAGTTGAGGAGTCTCCGGAGCTCACCTGAGTCCCGCCCATGGCGCTCTCGCTCGATGGCCAGGCCTAGACAGCCACCCAGCCCGGTTTAGGATGTGGACTCGGTAGTAATGAAAGAATGGGGACACAGAGGAGAAGGACCTGGGGACAAAGCTGCCTTGCTTCTTTAGAAGAGCCTTCTTTCTATATGCAGGACTACCATGTACAGCTGAACAGGGAGTGTACTGCACAAGGGCACCCTACCTGATGCTGTACTGTCTATGTCATTATCTCACATATTTGTGTATTGACTACCTAATTTTTTGGCATGTGGCAGTAACAAGTAATGATTCATTGTAATCAACATATGGCAATGATATTCCAGCAGGTGGCAATTAAGGGATCTCACAGAAAGTGCCTCTTTTCTGACTTTGCACAAAAGTGCCATACAGGCTGGTGGAAACTCTGGGCATGGAGGTGCCCCGATTTTCCCTTTCCTTGAAGCCTCAAGTTCCTAGACAAGAAAGTAATGGGGGGAGCTGCTGATGGCAAGTTTCCAAGAAGTGTACGCCTGGAAGCCAAAGTGAATGTAGGATTTGGAGACCTACCAGATTAGTCCTGGGGACACACCTTGGTGAGATCTGCTACCCAGAGTCCCCACACTAACATCTCTAGCAGGGCCTTGCCTAAGGTGCTACAGGGCTCCTGAGAAAGATGAAGAGGAGAAAGAGGAAGGAGAGAGGAACTTGAAGGAGTCACCTTTGGGCCTTTCTACAGGGGAGGCCTCAGAAGCAGGTGCCTCCTGGGGCAGAGCCCTCTCCCCAGGGACTGGACACTCACGGGCGATGCAGATGGGCGAATTGGAGCAGAGAGGTGGCTGGCATTTTAGGCCAGCCCTGATGGCCTTGTAGAGCAGGTAGATGGCTGTGGCACCTGTGGCCAGGCCCACTATACTTTTGCGGATGTCCAGTTGCCCCAGGTACTCGGGGATGCTCTTGCCCATATCTTTAGCGCTGCCTTRTACCCGGGTGGGAGCTATGCCCAAGGCACCTGGGAAAGGCCTTCCGGAACCAGAACTCTGGCAGGGCCAGGAACCAGGGTACCAGAATTGAAACCTAGGCAACAAAGGTAAATAGGGAGATGATGGGATGGAGGGTCTGAGTTGGGAAGTGGCGTGACCAGGGGAGCTTGAAAGGAGAGAGAAGGTTCAGCTTTCAAGGCTGCAGAGAAGAAGCTGGAGACTCTGGGGCTAGTGGCGGGGTAGCTCAGTGGTAGAGCACTAAAGCTAGCACAGGTCAGGCCCTGGGTTCCATGCCCAGCATCGGAAAGGGAGGGAGGGAGAAAGAGAGGAGAAAGTAAAGGAAATTTTAAAAGGAAAGGAAAGGAAGAAAAAAGAAAGAAAAAGAAATGCAAGGAGGCAGGGACAGATAGGCATCTCCTTGTCTTGAGGGGAGCCAGGTTGGAGGGGCCCCGCAGGTSGCTCCAGGGGCTGCCCTTTCTTCCACTAGAGGGCAGCAGACACCCATTTCTGGCTGGGGCCTTTGGGCATTTCTGGGAATCTGGGGTGTGCCCATTGACCCCCTTCTTTTGCTTCCCTCCTGTCTTTGATCTTTCTAAGGTAGATCTATCCCTGGACCTTAGTGTGTTTCTTCAGACAGAGCTTCCTCAACCCTGGAAGGTGAAATGAAGTGGACATCTTATCAAGTTTTGCAGCCTTGGGTACAGCCGTCATTTTCCAGCTTCTGCACGTGGACCTGGAGTGTGAGGAAAGCTTGTGAGGACAACCATCTTTGCATCCCAGCACCCAGCATAGATTTCTGCACTTCACAGGTACCTGTCATGCCTCATCACTCTTTGAAAGTTTGGGGACAGAATAATGACAGAGAGTCTRGAAAGTGTGGTTCCAGGCYCATCTAACTTGAGTGACCCTGGAGGGGGAAGGAGCCATCCTTTCCTGGATCTGTTTCTGCACTTAAAACCCAAGKGGATCCCAGATCTTCCATTCTAAAACTCCAGSATTACAATGTGAGCAGATCTGTGCCTTTCAGCCATGAAACGGTGGGTGGTGTGACCCCCGCTCCAGCCTCTCCACATAGGGGATGAGGCTTGAGACCTGTAGACAGAAAATTCTACCACCCCAGAGGATGGGAGCCATTTTTACAGGCTTTGATCTCTACYACTAGATGGGCCATGTGCAAACACATCCTTCTCTTCATCAGTCTCCCTACACCTTCTGGCCTCTCTCTGGTACAGAACAGGGAGATGACAAGCTCCCAGTTAGGGTCAGACCCAAAGCCAGTGTTGAGCATGGTTGTACCACAAYAGGGTTTTACCCACCTCATCCCAGGAGAACTGGGGCAGAAGGCTCTGGGTCCTGGGCTGCAGCCGGCCAGGCGTGGCCACTCAGAACCTCTGCCCATCACACCCCAGGCTGCAGGCAGGAAACAAGCCACACTCCTAGGCAGTCATCTCTTCCTATCCTCTCTTTTATCCCCACCTTTCCTCTAGGGTCATTCCTAGCACTTTGCCCCAAGGTGGGTGACTACATGGACAGTCCACAATGAGGGGTGGGTGAGCACAGGCTCACCGCTAGGGAACTACCCATCACACCCCATAATCTGCAGGCAGGAAATAGCTGCCTGATAGGCAACTGTCATTTCTGGTTCCAAGGCTCCCTTAGTGGATCTGAACAGATCCTTCAGAACAAGGTCCCTGCTCTGCTCACAGTTGCTGTCCCCTCAGTGCTATGGAGCTGATTCTGCAGCTCACACATCTGAAGCAGATTTGTCATCTGTTCTTTAAAGACCTCCCAAAAGGGTTCTTTCTTGGTTGTAACCTGATTCCCTCCTGCCATACTAAAGACCATTTCTTCTGGTTCTGCCCTCAAATGATTCAGAGGGAGCAGAGAGGCAGAGTCATACCCAGGGTGACATTTTCACTAGTCCCCAGTACAATGAAAAAAATAAAGACAGAGGAGCATCTATTAGTCAGTGTAAAGTCAATGACTCCTTTCTTGGGAATGAATGACTGGTAGATTTTTGTTATTTTTTTTTTTTTTTCAGGGATGGGGTTTTGCTATATGGCCTAGGCTGGTCTCAACTAAYCTCAAGTCGCCCTCCTGCCTCAAATCTCCTGAGTAGCTGTGACCATGGGTGCCCGGAAAGAGTGTCTGGTTTTGATTTTTTAGGGATAATTCATACACATTTTCTTTAATGAAATGGAGATAATAGATGGTAGATGGTTTTTAAATTTTTTTWAATTATTATTATTATTTTTAGTTGTTGAGGGACCTTTGTTTTATTTTATTGTATATGCGGTGCTGGGAATCAAACTCAGTGCTTCACAAATGCTAGGCAAGTGCTCTACCACTAAGCCACAATCCCAGCCCCCTTTTTTAAATTTTTTTTTTTATAATTTTTTTTTTTTTTTGTGTGTGTGTGTGTGTGTGGTACTGGGGGTTCAACCCAGGGGCACCTAACCACTGAGCCACATCCCCAACCCTTTTTTATATTTTATGTAGAAACAGGGTCTCCTTAAATTGCTGAGTCTGGCTTTGAACTTSAGATTCTCCTACCTCAGCCTCCTGAGTTGCTGGGATCAAAAGCGTGTGCCACTGCACCAGGTGGTAGGTGTGTTTTAAATGTTCTTAGGAAATGTATTAAAAGCTGCGACTCCTTCTGGGAACTTGGCTTGGTTTATTTTCTTGTTTTGTTTTTCCATCACATCTAGAATGTCACATCTGGAATAGGTGGCCAGAAAGAAGTCTAAGAGTCAATATACACAGAGGCAGACATGAGCTCCTTACCTGCCTTCACCAAGAAAAAGACACAGGCTGCCTTGGCTTGCACCTCTGTGCCGTTGCTACCAGCTCTTCACCTCCAGGGCCGATGTTCCCACGTGTTCAGTGCAGCTTCGTGTAGGGGATGGGAATGGGCTGTAGCCAGACTGCCATGGCTCCAAACCAATGCAGCCACAGAGGTAGCTCTGGGATCTTTGTGCCTCATTTTCCTGGCCTGTAAAACGGGACTAATCTGACCTACTTCATGGACTTGTTTGTGAGGATTAAGTAAAGTACTTGGAACACTGCCCTGCACACAGAGTTCAACCAATGTTGACTATAATAATTATGAGGTTTCACCTGGACAAAATGTTTGAGTGTGGTAAGGCCCAAAGCAAGCCTATTGGCGTCCCGCCCTGAAAAAGTCCACTACTCGCCCCTTCAGCCTCTGCCACTCACCCTGATTGCAGTGGTCTTCTTAAGGCTGATCAATCTCAACTCATGAAAACTATTTAACTACCTTGAGCCACTTCGGAGTCCTCTTTGAAGCCCACAAATCCCCAATTTAGAAGCGGTAGCCCCCAGTCCATTCCCCTAACCACTTTGTTCCTAAGCCATCCACCSCTAAGGCCACTGCCTCATGCTCTTCACGATGCTCTTGCAATCCTCCTAAACTATAATGCTCCAGGTGCTATTGGGGGGCCTATTAGGAAAGTCAGTCCTAGGTCATTACCAAGGGTGACCTTTTTACCTTGTGGAGACCCAGCACTTGTGCACTTAAAAGACAAGAGAAGATTGGTCTGCTCCACACTCCAAGGAAAAACCCTTTGGAGTCCGATTGTCATGGGTTCAAATCCCAGCTGTGTGGGATTTGGACGTATCCCATCATCTGAGTCTTAGTTTCCTCCTCTAGAGGAATTTACTACCTGGAAGTGCTGCCATCGGGACCGACCGAGAGAACGTGCGGCTCCTCTCGGTGCACAGGCGACGCTCAATACGCCCAGCTTCCTGGCACAAGGATGGGGGCGCCCGTGCCCTTCCTGGATGCCACTCTCCGAGACCATCCCCTCCCCAGCTAAAGCTAGAGTCGTGGAACTCCGGCAAAGGCATGGAGACCCCGGAGAAATCGGCAAAAGCAGAGGTTGGGGGCGGCGCCCCCGGAGGAGGAGGACCGGGTGGGGGCGGAGGCCGCGCCTCCTCCACCCAGGCCTCCCCCCCACCTCGCTCTCCCTCCCCCGACTCCCTCCTCCCCCGAGCGCATCCGGCAGCGGGCACAGGATGTTCTTTCGCTCCCGTCCTCCCCCCTCCCCGCCCCCGCTCTCACTTTCTCTCCGCTCCCCTCCTCCACTCCCGCCGCGCCCGGCGCCGGCACCTTGCTTAACTCCTTCTCTCCCGGGCTCTGGGGCGTCCGMGSGCCGGGTAGCAGTCCGACCTTCCCGCCCGCCCCGTGGCAGGCCCAGCAACGCTGAGCTGAGCGCCTGGCCCCTCTTTCAGGCTCCTCTGGCCAGTCCTGGGTGAAAGGTGGAAAGGCCTCCAAGGACAGGGGCCGGCACTCCCTGGAATCCCCTGGAGCTCGCCAGGTTTAGGTGGGGTGCGCGCCCCGAGCTAGCGGCGCGTCGGAAGGGACCGCGGAGTGGGAGTGGGCGTAGACAGCTGGGGCCGGGCGCGGGGGGAGAGGGTCTAAGGACTCTAATGACCCCATCCTCCCCAAAGGAACCGCCAAGCAGCGACCAAGGGTGGCAGAAGAGGATGGAGAYAGGCCACGCCCCTCGAGTTACGTCACTGCTTCCTAGGCAACCGGGGCAGACTAGAGGAGGGCAGACCTCAGGGAATCGAGGCTTTGGGACAGGGCGGGGTTGTGGGTAGAGGTGGGGGCGCGGCAGGGGCGGGCTTTTCAATCTTTGCAGCTTCGCTCCTTGTTGTCGGAGAAACTAAGTGAGGCACAGCTATGTTTCCCCCCCCACTTTCGTTCAACAAACATGCTAGGTGCGATGCTTAAGCACTGGGATATTGCACTCCATCCGAAGCCTGCCCTCACCGATTATGGCGGCCGTGCATCCCAGGCTGTGTCCCTGGAACCAGTGTAATTATTAATAATGTCCCTTTTTACGTGTAAAGTATCCAGGAATGGGTAAGGGTTAAGGAAGACTTGGTCCCCTGATTAAGGGAAAGTTTCAACCATGCTGAGAAAGAAGGAAGACAAACTTTTGTATGCTCACCATTCAACAATCACTTTCCTGGCATTTTATAATCTCTGTGAGTTTTGTCCCTCATTCTACAGGGCAGGCATCCCTCGTGCCTTTTACAGATGAAGAAACTGACTCAGAGAGGTCTTACTCAAGGCCCAACAACTCTATGTGGACCTGAGTGCCCGACCTCCTGCTTCTTTCTTAAAATAAATGGATCATATACAATRAACAAAAAGATACTTGTCCTTTTCATGAAGGAGTTTATAACATTTGGAGGAAAGGGCTGAAAATATTACAGGACAGAATTAAACAATAAAATATAGAAGACTGCTCATAAGGCTCAGAGGAAAGTTGAAGTTGATGACAAACCAATCAAAATGGTGTGGACACTATCAGAGACTTCCTGTGGGAGATGGATTTTGAGTTGCATCCATAGGTGGAATCACTAGAGGTGTGTATGAGATGTGGTTCCAAGAAACAGAAAGACTATGAGAATCAGAGCAGGGACCCAGAGTCAAGTGGGCTAAAATCTCTCAATGGCAAGATCTCTCTGTAAACCCCAAAGCCTTTGGTGTTTACTTCTGTGTTCTGCCTTCTGCTCTCTCTGTGGCCTTGTCTCWTATGGGAGCAGATACTCCCAGCTGGCAGCTGCGCCCATTCTACTTTAAACCCAAGGTCTCTACATTTGGTATTTGGCACAAATTCCCTGATGTGACTTTGGATATCAGCTTCTCCCTTTCAGATCCCCCTCTGAAGATTTGGGGGAAATGAACCTGAGTTTGCCTCAGGAAGCCAATAAGCTTGCTGAGAATGGGGAGATGGAGTCAGGAGAGAGAGGTAGAGGGATGAGAAGGTGGTAYGAATAAATGAATTGGACAATTGAAAAATACTTGCTGCCCTCTCACTGTGCAGCAGGCACTATGCTAGGTAGATTCCACTTCAGTGATCTGGAAAGGCCATGAATGAATCTGAACACATACAGATCACATAGCAGCTGGCACACCCAGTATGCTTGGCTGAGACGTCCACGCTGATAACAGATACGACAAATGGTGTTTGAGAAAGATTATTCCAGCAGGGTGTGTAGGAGTAAGAAACAACCTGGATCAGAAAGACTGCAGCACTTTGGATCAAAGGTGATATCTATAGGGCTGGAGAGGAAGGAGTGAATGAGAAAGGTAATGACTAAAGGATGCATTTTAAAATGACAGCAACAAAAAGAAGAAAGCAGAATCTGGTAACAGATCAGCCATAGGATGGTGAAGGAGAGAAGGCAGTTAAACATCAACCCACCTTCACAATGATTTTGGGGGACTAGGAGTGTCACAAGGGACAATGGGAGGAGTTGGTGCAAGGGGCATGAGTGAGTTTAGTCACTTCTAGGCCATATTAAGGCAAGTGACCGGGCTGGGGATGTGGCTCAAGCGGTAGCGCGCTCGCCTGGCATGCGTGCGGCCCGGGTTCGATCCTCAGCACCACATACCAACAAAGATGTTGTGTCCGCCGAGAACTAAAAAATAAATATTAAAAATTCTCTCTCTCTCTCTCCCCTCTCTCATTCTCTCTTTAAAAAAAAAAAAAAAAGGCAAGTGACCCATATATGACTGGATTTGGAGATGGGAAAATCCAGAAGGGGAGTGGGACTGGGGCAGTGCCCCAGTCCTGGGATGCCATGGACAGATTCATGCATCAAGTTGCATCAAGTTGAAGTTTGGAATAGATGACAGCAAAGCTGCCTCCCTTCTAGGGGGGTTGGTGAGTGCTGGCTGGGTGACAGCATGTGTGGGAAGTGTGTTGTATGTGTTGGAAGGTGGTCCATATGGCYCAGGACCATGTTGGCATCCATCTGTTAATTTCTGGCTAAAGAACTAGCCAGTGATTCCATGAGATGGGCCTGGGGGCACGAGGCCCAGGTGAGGCACTTCTGCAGCTTAGGGTCCCTCCCCTAACCCCACCCTCAAAGGCCCTGGAGCTCAGGCCTGTACTGCCTGCCAAGGTCTTTCCTGGAACCCAGCAGAGGACAGAGCCCCTCCCTGCCTGCCCTGGCACTCTCCAGGCACAGGGTGTCCCTCTAGGCACCTTACAGACACCCCAGGAGGCTGGAGCTGAGACAGCCCCCCTTTCCAAGAGCCTTTGCCCTGGGATGCTGCCATTCTCCCAATGTCCCCACCAGGCCAGAAGAGACAGCAGGCAGGCACAGGGGAAGAAGGAAGAATTTTTTGGCTTCCTGGGTCTTTGCTGTGGCTTCAGATGGAAGGGTGGGGATGGCAGAAAAGCAGAGTCACAGGCTTCAGAGCATCACACCACCTGCTTCTCCCTCCCTCCCAGGAGGAAACCTTCAGGGGCCTAGTGGTTTTGAGGGGAGGGGACAGGAAGAGACTCTGAACTCTGGGTCAACTGAGGACAAAGAGCGCTTGCCCTATATCTTATTTCTTCCAGGATTCTCTTCCTCTGCTTCCTACCCACCATCACCCCAGAACAAACTCATATCTCTGTCTACAACTAAGGGAAACGGGACACGTACCCAACGGGACGTTTATCAGCCGCTGTGTGCCGAGCCACACCTGTTGGATGCGGAGAGGAGAGCGCCCCTCCCAGGTGGATAGACCCTGCGGTGCTCGGGCGGGGCACGGGGAGACGCTGTCCTGGMGGGGCGAGAAGGCAGAGGGCAGCGCAAACGGGCCACGTGGAGGCCGGCCGCGGGGGGCTGGGGCGCGCGGCGGGGAGCGGGGGGGGGTGCGCTCGCCACTCCCGCTCGCGGGAGCCGCCGGGTGTCGCGGCCGCTGACCGCAGGCTGCAGGAGCGGTTGATCTGGTGAGCGAGCACACCCACTTACCCAGCTGCTGAGTCAGGCTGTTCTCGCTCCCGCTCGCCCGCCCGCCCGCCGGCTCGGGACATTGTGTTCCAGCCCCGGCGCGCTGGCAGCGGGCCCAGGCGCTCACACCAGCCTCCTCGCCTTGTTTGTGCTCGCGGCTTACGCTCGGCGCGCATTCCCGCCGCGGTCACAGCCTCCCGGCCGCGGCGGCCCTGGGAGCGCGCGCTGGGGCCAGGGCTGGCGCGCAACCTCTGGGACGTGCGCCCCCGCCGGGTGGGCCCCGCAGCCCCGCGCACTCACCAGCCCCAGAGCACCCAGACATCTCCATGCCCAACTGCCCCGCGGGTCGGATGCCTAGGCTTGTGAGGGCTCTGGGTTAGCATAGTCGGGGGGCAGGTGTTGGAAAGTCCACCGGAGAGGGGCCCCMGGAGCTGCCGCCCATGCCCCCCAAGCGCTCGGTCCAGCAGTCTGGAGGACAGCTGGGAGCACGCCAGCCCCAGGCTTGTCAGACCTGGGATGCAGTCACGTGACAACGGAAGCCTGTGTTGAGGGGGCCAATTCAAGCGATCCCCAGGAAGAGCCTCCCCTTCCCTCGCCCACACTTCCCTGATCCTCCACACAAGCCGGGAGCACGGAGAGTCCTGGGGTTCCCGGCACTGGCAAACCAAGCCTGGCCCTTTGGGACAGCTTGGGAACTCCCTGGCAGGGCTCTGGGAGTCGGGAGAGCCCAGACCCTATAGGGTGGGAATGGTGGAGGAATGGCAGGGATTAGCACGAAGACCCCAAACTGGCCCTGAAGCCTGACCCTTCCGTTTGTCCAGTTCCAAATCCTGGTTTATTCAGAACCGGGATTTCTCCTTACTCATGTTTCTGCAGAAAGACAACTGAGTGCTGACTGCTGGTCCAGAAGATTCCACTCCCTCCGAACTGACGAGGGGACAAAGGGTTTATATGCTGCGCACCTACCTGAGGAAAGTTCTGTGTTGGGTCCTGCTAAGGATGTCATGAAAAGTTTGACACAATTCCTAAAATCCTTTATTCTTCCTCCTTCCTACATCCACATTTGCTGTGCCATGTCCCTGACAGGAGTGCTTGTCCTCCGTGTCTAGCCATCCCTTGGCTTCAGCTCATAGGGGCCACCAACCAAATCTGAATCCTCTTCCCCAAGCCCAACACACTTGGTTTGTACCTTTCCCACAGCGTGGCCAGCGGCCTGTCTCCWGTTCTAGTGATCTGTTTACTAATCCTGTTCTAACCAGATTAGAAAGTCCTTGAGGCAGAAACTAAATCTGGTTCTTTGAAGCCTCCCCCATCCCCCCAACTCATCCTTCGCAGGCCCTGCCTGGCACGGGAGGTGGTGTTCAATAAATACTGGGTGTATTGAAATGATTTCCTGCCCTTGGGCAGTTTGTAGGCCAGTTGAAGAGACAAACACCCGGTGTGTGAGGTTAAATAATAACTGAAGCCAGCAGGTGGTAAGTACCAAATGTGCATAACAGATAAAGGGACTCAAAGCAAGAAGATAGTGATATGGGAGAAAGCTCCTAAGAGGTTCTAGATCTTGAGCCCTGAGTGTGTGTGTGTGTGTGTGTGTGTGTGTGTGTGTGTGTTTGTGTAGGAGGAGGAGGAGAGGGGAGGGTGGAGTGGAGGTGACTCATTCTGGTTGACATCACCACAAAACAGTCTTCGTGCTAGGCACTTTACATGCATTATCTTTCAAATTTAAGGATGGGGGAGGGGTTTGGGAGGGTTGTAAGGGATAGTGCCCAATCCTGGCCTGCCCAGAGCCAGTGAAAGTGTAGGAGCAACCTTGAATGTGGGCTCCCCGCCCTCAGTCCCTGGGCACTGCCTGTTCCCTGGCCTGCCACTCCTACATACTACACCCAAGAGCACCCGGCACTGCCCAGTTCTGGATGGATGCACTCTGGTCCTGCCCTGGTGAACAAATGGCTGTGTGACCTTGGGTAAGGCACTTCCTCACCTGTCATCTGTCCCTCCTTTGCAGCCCTTAACAGGCTGTGGCTTTGTGAGTCAGTGTCCAAGTGATGCTTGCCACCTCCCCTGATGTTACCTGGGCTGCTGTGGTGCCTGCCCTCCCCGCYGCCACCATGCACACATACTTTGCTCCCTCCCAGTCTGGAGCTGCTGAGAGGAACACTGGGTACAGAGTGTGAGAAGGGATGGTAGGTTTCCTGTGGTTGCAAAAGGAACAGCGGGACTTTCCCTGCTGTACCCAGGCTGTGGGAGAAGTGGGGGAGGAGGAGGAGGCAGGGCCAACCTCCAAGGAACTTCTACTCTCTTCCCTCCCCTCCTCAGTGCTCCCAGCTCTCAAAAAGGCTGGTACAGTTTGTTACACTGGGGCCGGAATGTACCGTGTGTTTCATATGGCCTCTGTCCAGTCCTACACTGGTCACTTTATGTTTACACTTCCTTCTCCAGCTGGGGCATCCTGCTGTCCATCAACCCTGCTCTCATCTGCCCACCTCCCCTGAGTTACCCACCAAGGATCACGAAGTGAGTCTCCTGCCCCCACGGTTCATGGGGGGATGGGAAGTTAGGATGCAGAAAGAACCTTGCAGAGGGGAAGTCGGACTCCAGAAGGGCAAAGCCCCAGTTTCCTTTCTTTCTCCCACCACAGGAATCTCTCTGAGGTGGGTCCTCTTCTCCTTGCCACCCTGGTTTCCCTGGCACTTCAGCAATATTCCTGGGTCCAGCTGGATGTGTCTATATCAGGTGCCTCCCCAAACCTGGTAATCACTGAATCTCCCCCACCAGTCAAGAGAACACAGGGGCAGAGTGGAGGCCTGGCACTGTCAGGAATATCCTACCCTCTTACCTCCAGGAGTCACATATTCCTAAAATAAATTGCAATTTTTTTCTTTTCTTCTCTTTTTTGAGACTGGAGTCAAGCCATGTTGCTCAGGCTGGTCCTCCACCTTCTGGACAATAGCAATCCTCCTGCTTTAGTCTTTCAAATAGCTGGGACACCACTACACCCTGTAACAAAATGGAATTTGACACTAGGGGATTTCTTTCTCTTCCTTTTTTTTTTTTTTTTTTTTGGTACTGGGGATTGAACCCAGAAGTGCATTACTATGGAAATACATCTTTGGCCCTTTTTGCTCCCCCCTCCCTTTTTTTTTTTTTTTTTGGTGTGTGTGTGTGTGTGTGTGTGTGTGTGTGGTGGTAGGGATTGAACCCAGGGCCTTGTGAATTCAAGGCAAGCACTCTAGCAACTGAGCTATATCCCCAGCCCATCTTTAGCCCTTTTTAATTTTTATTTTGAGACAAGATCTCACTAAGTTGTTTAGGGCCTCCCTAATTTGTTGAGGCTGGCCTCAAACTTGTGATCCTCCACCCTCACCCTCCCAAGTCACTAGGATTACAGGTGTACACCATGGTACCTGGTGACACTTGGTGATTTCTTACTGATTGTCTGAGTTGTGATCAGTTTGTCTCTTCAAAGTGGCTTGGATATTCAGAGATAATGCATTTTTGATCTGGCCTTCCTCCTAGAGGAATAATGTGATATTATTCACCCATTTGACAGCCTGAAACCTGGAGGCTAGCAAGACCCTGGAACACACTCTCAGCAGTGGAGTTGGATGGTCAGGATTGCTCTTCATGGGCTCAGCTTGATTCTTGGCCAGCTGGCCTGCCTGCTGCCCCTCACCTTCTATCCAGAGGTAAACTGTCTGGTTGTATTGATTTAGCACTGAGATCCAAAAACTAGAAACTGAGACTGGATCCCAGGCTGTGAAGTCAGYTCTGTCGGTGGTAACAAGGCACACTTACATGACGTTTCTTGGGACTTAAAATGGCCGAGTTTGGGGATAATCAACCTGATGTCAATCCCTGCCATTTGTATTAGATTGTGTATTAGACTTTTCATTTCCCTGTCCTAACTCAGGTGAGCCTAGTGTTCCTCTAAAGTAAGGGAACTAGCACCCCACTCTCTTGCTGGGAAAACTGAGTTCAGAGCAGCTAAGGTGCTCACCCAAGGGCAAGAAACTAGGTTTGTGATTGCTGTCTGGGTGCTTTGCTTCCYGCCACAGGGCCTCTTCTGAGTTGGGAGAGGAAGAATTTCCCAAGATGTCCTGAAGTGACTGGCCTTTTGCCCAGCTCTATCACCAAGGAGGGGACCATAGCACCCCACTGCCCATGCCACCATCCTCTACCCTGGGGCTGACACCAGACATCCTGTATTTGGTCAGCCTGTCCTGAGCACTGGCTTCCGGTCCTCAATTGCTTTCCTGGGCACACTGTGTCCTCTCTGAGCTGCTGCTTCTTCCTCTGAGTACTTCTTCCTCTTTTATTCTTCCTCCTTTCTCCGAATTCTACATGCCTCCATCCAACTGTGTTTACTTTTATTTTTGCTTTTTGTATTTCTAGTCTCCTGAGAAGTTTCCCAAGGTCTCTTCCTCTTCGTTCCTCTGCCACCATCTTGTTTCCCAGGAAGTAATTTCCATTCGTACTCCACCCCCAACACCACACCTTGCCCCAAACTATTGCTAACATCAGATTGTTCAGGATCATGTATTCAGTAGACACTTATCGAGTATCTACTGTGTGCCTCAGGAATTTTGTTCATGCCCTAGGATCCAAAGTTCAAAAGCTATGCCTGTGCATTTAATTAAGCACCTACTGTGTTTGTGCAGAGGGCATTGTGCTTTAACCTAAAGACTTAAAAACTGGTTGCTACATTCAAGACCCCTGGACTACTTGGGAAAATGCATAAAAACAGATTTTGTAGGGTTGGGGTTGTGGCCCAATGGTAGTGCGCTTACCTAGCATGTGTGAGGCACTGGGTTTGATTCTCAGCACCATATATAAATTAGTAAAATAAAGGTCCATTGACAACTAAAAATAAAAAWAATAATAATAAAAAAAACCTTTTGATCTGGGGAATGTTTTGGGAAGTTGGGGACCAGTGTGAAAGGCTCCTGTGAGTAGAAGAGTCTTCTTCGTGTCTGAGGGGAGCTAGCCAGGCAGAGCAAGGGTGCACAGTGTTCCAGGTAGCAGGAACAGTGTGTATAAAGGCACACAGGCGTGAAGCAGCCCCATGTTCTCCGGCGGGCACTCAGAATTGTTTGGTCTGGCTGGACATGGAGTGCAGGTTGGGAGCCCAGGGAGATGAGGCCAGAGGCAGGCAGGCCCAGATGGTGCAGTACCTCGTGTTCCAGCAAAAGGATTGACCTTTATCCTGGAGCAGCCGGAAGCCCAGGCAGCCTCATGGCTCCCTGCAGCCGGGGAGCTCCAGGGCTGGGCGTGGGCCAGACCCAAAGTGTTCTCCGAGCCTCCATTAATGCACATTTTATTGCCCTTTGGCTTTGAAAAGTCTGTGGGAGAGTCACTTAAATATACTGCTATTTCCAAAGCACAGTCATTCATTCATTCATAAATGTTTAGCAGGCTCTGATGCCTGCCAGGTGCTGCTCCGAGAACCAGGACCGGTCAGTAAGCCCCACAAAGTCCCATCTCTCAAGAAACTTGCATCCTCAGTAGCTGGGGGCAGGGGACAGGCCATAAATAAACAAGTGAAACAAATTATTAAGATAATTTCAGATCACGATAAATGCAAAGGAGAAAAATCAAATAGTGATGCCCCCAGAGAAGCTAGGTCTCCTAGGTGGTAGAGAAGGTTGCCCTGAGAAAAGCCATGTTTGAGCTCAGACTTAGAGGACACAAAACAAGCCTTCCTGTGAACATCTGAAGGCAGAGGGTTCCAGGTACAGGAAAATCACTTGCAAGACATGTGCCCCAAGGCATGAAGGAGCTTGGGGTTTTTTCAGGTTTAGAAAAAATGGCTGGGTCAAATCTGTCAGTTCCCAGCAATGCTATGCAAGGATTATCAGATCCATTTTAGAGAGATGGAAACTGAGGCTCAAAATGGTAAAGTTCCTTGGCCCAAATCACAACTGATAGTACAAATTTTTACTCCAAAGCCACTGCTCTTTTTTTCCTACCAAATTTCGAGTTCAGCAACCTTGTGTCCCAAATTATCCAGGAAGTTCCAGTTTCTAAAATCCTTTCTCATTTTCCCCTGGACAGTCATCTTGGACATTCTCTCTGTTCCAAACCATGACCTTGAACCCTGTCTTTGTCATGCACTACCAATGCAAGCACAGACTATCACTTCACCCTTGTAAGCCTCAGTTTTCTCATCTGTAAATGGGGAAAGTAACAGTTTCCATATCATCTTCTGGCTGGGAGGTGAAAGGACATCGTTGGTGTGAGGCCGAATGCTGGGAACACTGGTGCACCATCCAATTAATAGTGCTTCTTGTGACTTTGGAAAATGGAGGTCAACTGCAGAATGGTCCTGCCCTCAGGAAGCTGGGGACCCAAGGCCTGGAGAGAGAGAGAAAGAACTATTGTGGGGCCTCTGAGTTGGGAGACCGGGGGAGAGTGGTGGAGGAGAGGGCAGCCACAATGGCCTCTTCCTTTCCCCTCACTCGCCTCTGCTGGGATCCCACACTGACACATCTTGTACTTCCCGTTTCCAGGGAAATTCCTCACCCGCTGGACCACACCCGCTCTTGAGGACCTCCCGAGCTCTCTGGGCAGAGCGGAAGCCAGACAGAGACCGGACTCCAAGGCGACAATCCCAGCCCTGTGTGTGCCAGGAGCCCCCAGAGGCAGGGGCCCATGCTGCAGGAGGTTAGCTGCCCCCCAACACTCAGGAGCCTGGAGTGGGCTGCAGGGACAGAGTGCTTCTCAAAGAAGGAGAAGGAGGAGGAGGAGCCCCCGTGGAGTACGTGACTCCTGCCCCTCTGGCTGCACGCTCCAGTTACCAGGACAGAGACCCCTCCCCACGCGTCCCCAGCCTTCCCCTGCTTCCTGCTCTGGCTGCTGGGAGGCCCTGTCACCACACATGCGCGAGCACGCACTCCGACACACGCGCCCCTCCCAGGCACCCCTGAGAGGACCAGCTGCGGCTGGGGGGTGCACTGAGTGCTGCCAGGTCCTCAGATCCACAGCCTCCCCCCATCCTCGCCCCCTACTGCTGAGCTGCTTGGAGGTTTAAAGCAAAACATGACTGTCTTTCCTGCTGCTCAGTGGCAGCAGCGCTGCCGGAGGGTTATTTTTAGCAGGGATGCGAGGAAGGCACATTTCTCCTTGACTGTCACCAGGGACAACCCTCACCCCCCAGCCAAGACTCGCCTGGGGAGGCAGGTTCGGAAACCCCCCTCCCAGGAAGGGGAAATGGTGGGTTTTCTGTTCTTTCAATTCATCAGGCCTCGAAGTCAAGCTAGGGGCCGCTCTGATGGGAAATTCTAGGTTCCAAAGCCCATGGTTTCCCCCGCCATCCCTGGTCTCTGTGTCGCTACAAATTTGAGGAGCAAGAGGTACGTTGTGTCTAAAGGCAGGTCGCCCAGGCTGCGGGTGTTGGGGTCCTGGGGCAGCCGGTGGTTACAGCCAGGCACTATAGATTGCATGCAGTGCCCGGCTTGTGGGGGAGGGGTTCTCACAGATGCTGGCTTGTTAATTCATTAAACTGCCTGTCTGGACTATACATTTTTTTCTGTATATGTGTTTTTTAGAAGCTAATTTTTTTTTTTTTTTTTTTTTTTTTACTTTTGAGACAAGGTCTCCTTGAATGGCTCAGAGCCTCATTAAGTTGCTGAGGCTGGCCTTGAACTTTTGATCCTCCCATCTCAGCCTCCCAAACCATTGGGATTACAGGCATGGACCATCATGCCTGGCTAGATGCTAGAAGTTTTTATTGAGATATAAGCATACATTCTATATATAGTCAGATCCACAAATATTAATTGTACAGAATGAAGAATTTTGACCAATGTATAGATTATAGATCCCAGTAACCATCACCTAGAGCAAGATTTCAGATATTTCCACCAGCCCTAAATTCCCTTGGGCTCCCTCACAGTCAGTCCCCACCCCAGAGGCGACCATGGTACTGATTTCTGTCACCATAGGTTAGTTTCCTGAGCATGCATATGAGCTTTACAAATTTAAAAGAAATACATCTCCTACCRTAGAAGGAGGAAGTGGACAAAAAATTCTTACTGTACAAAGAAGGTTATTTGAACTAAAACCAAAACAAAACAAAAACCTAAGGAATCATTGGCCAGAGAAACAGGAGGTTTTGGAGCCAACCCAATGCCTTAGCATTGGGACAGAGGGCTTGGGACACTTCTTGGAGCAGAGGCCGTGAGTGGCKTGGGGTGGGGAAGATGACCAGCCAGGCTCCTCTGTGTTCTGATAAAAGGTTCCTCCCCTGCCCAGCAACTGCCTGAGTTTTGAGCAAGGCCAAGGCCAGGAGGAAGGACGCTCTCAAGGGCATCTGCCCAGAGACAGGGAGAAGTTAGGGCCCCTGGGCAGTTAGGTTATTTGTCTTTCCTGCCTTCCCTTTCAAGGTCTGTCTGATTTTGTGCCTCCTTCACACTTAGTCCTGCCTGGGGAGGGGAGAGGCTGAGGCTCTCAAAGGGACTTAGAAGGAGAGAGACAGAGTTCTGCCTGCCTGCCTTTTTTCCAAAACACTAATTTGAGCGCCTACATTGTATGGCAGCTCCTGCCAGCTGCTGGGGATGGGAGAATGACAGACATGTTTTAGCTCGCTAAGGAGTCAGAATTGGCTCCAGGTGAGGCAAGGCCTCTACCTCCTTCATGGTGGAGATGATGGCCCAAACAGGTGACTTATTCAGGAACAACAATCTGTTGGAACAGGGAGGCAAAGAATGGTGCCCCCTGATTCAACCCTAGCCAGGAATAAGAAAGCAAAGGAAATAAAACCTATGTCCTTCTCTGGGCTTTCTCCCTTGCAGATTTTCTGGGGCAGTGGAAAGAGCACTGACCCGAAGTCAGAAGACCTCATTTCTGCTTCTAGGTCTTAGAAGCACTTCCTCTTTCTGGGCCCCAGTCTTTTCCCGTGAACATAAAGAAGGCCGTCTCCAGAGGCCTTCAAAGGGTTCTTCCAACTCTGCCTTACCTGAGTGTACCCTGCATTTTTCTGCCTCAGTGCCTTTGCTCAGGTCATTTCTGCCACTGAAAGCCCCTTCCCTCCCACTTCCTTCTTCTGACAGTCTCTTCATCACGTATGACCTAGTTAAGGTGCTGCTCCTAGAGACCCCCAGCCTTTAGGGATCTGTGAGTGTGTCATCCAGATCCCCACTCCCAGAACAGAGCCTCCTCRCTGTGCGCGGCCTTCCCAGTTGTGTCAGTCACTGTTGGAACAACTGAAGTGAATTCCTGCTCCCACCCCACACTTCCACAGGCCCCTTTTCAACTTCAAGAAATTGATCTCATCCTTCCTCAGGGCCTCCAAGGACACTATGCCTTCGTGCTGGGCAGGCCAGCCCAGGCCTGAGTGTCAGACTGCAGTGCTTTGGGCACAAGTAACTGCCTTGGGAGTTGACCCCAGAAAGGACAAGAAAGACAGGCAGGGCCGTAGACAGAAAGATGGCTGCCCCACCTCACCTGTCCTGTCCTCATTCTTGAACACCTGGACAGAAATCCCTCAACAAGTACAGGGCTTCCGCCCCCACCAGACTCAAGCCCATTCCCACCTGCCTGCCCACAAACAGACCAGCAAGTTTGCAAAAATGTACCCCGACAACCTTACCCTTCCCGTAGATGGGCCTCACCCACACATGTGCATGTGTTGCACAGATACCCAGGGACACACACAGACACACATAATGGGCAGCACAGACGTGGAATATAAGCATCTGCTTTCAAGTATGAGCATGCAGCCCCCCCACACACATGCACACTGAGCACACGCTTACCCAGATGGGCACACGGACACTCGGTACACACACGATTACACATGCATGCACACTCTACACACCATGTGGGCTCCTCCCCCCCAGCTCTCAGGGCATCCCAGCTCATACCTGTTAAGTTGAGCTTGCTCCAAGGGAGAGGGCCACCTTCTGGGTGCTCAGTTTGCTGGCTTCTGACCGTCTCTGGATTTATGTCAAACTGGGATCTTTTGTATTAACTGTCCTTTCTGGTGGCCCTGTGGGAATTAGAGAAGGCCTCAAGAGCTGTGGGTTCACTCCGGGGCAGCCCTGCTTGGGTGACTGACAGGAATGGGAGATGGGAAGGGGAATTCTGATAAGTGTTGCATCGTTTTTGTGCATGGATGTCTCCGTGGTGCTGTGGTTTTGTGGGACCCGTAACCCGAGGCTGGTCGCTTTGCTGTCCCTGCCACACTCCTCACCAGGTCCCACCCACTTTCCCCAAGGTTCTCTGCTGTGGGGAGGTGGGAAGGTTTGAAGAGGGCCCAGTCCCAAGGTTGAAGTGGCAGCTCTGGGGCTGACAGCAGAGCCACCCTCAAATGGAAGGGTGACTTCTCTCAGACTCCCCCATGGCAGCATAGCAGTAACCCAGAGGCCAATCCAGGTTGAGGGCCATCCAAGTTTGAGCAAAGAGGAAGCTTAGACTCCATTAAATTCCTTCCATCTAAGGTCCCTGAGCCTGGAGCTGGTGCCTGGGGTGGTGCTGGGCTGGGCAGGGAGGGCGAGGGTGCGTTCAGAAAAGACACAGTGACTCCTGAGAGTGCCCTGCGTGAATCTTGGGTGGAGCCTGGGGAATACCCCACGGACAGAGGAGTACTACCTGTCTGATCTTCTTGCTGTGTGCCCTGTTTTGGTCACTAACACCAGGTGGTATGGTGGCTGGGGGCAGATACCTGGGGGCCACTGCAGATTCTTCCCTCTCCTATACCATCCTACCAGACCTCATGTCCCATGGGGTTTTCTTGTCCCATCTAGACCCTCCTCAGGCCTCATTATCACTGCCTTCCTGTGGGTCAGAACCTCCCTCCCAGGGCTTCTAATGGCAGAGGGAGGGCAGGAAATCCCCCAGGCTTATCCCGTGCTCCTGCATCCTCCACGCAGCTGCCAGAATGGTCGGCCTCAAACACACAGCTCATCTGCAACTTAGGATCCTTCACTGGCTCAAATGGAGGCCCGGATTCCTGGCATGGCACAGCCAGCCATATGCAGAACAAGCAACTCTCAGCCTGTCCCCGACTCATGTTATATTACAGCTCACCATGCTGGTGTTCATCCCCAAGCCTTGTGTGTGCTATTCCCAGGCTGCCTTCCCTCAGTGACCTAGCAAGGACCTTCTCATCTCTCCAGATTGAAGAGGTCCTTCTTGGCCTCTGTGAGAGCACATTTTCTAATAATGCTTACCATCATTATTTACAAGCCAGTGTTTCTACAGGCACACACCAGACACCATTCTACTGTTGTGATGCTCTGTGTGTGTGTGTGTATACATATAGATCAACTTATTTAATCCTTATAACAACCTTAATAGGTACTATCATTACTGTCTCCATCTTGTAGATGGGAAAACTGATACACAGAGAGTTTAAATGACTACCTAGAGGGACATGCCAAGTAAGTGATAAAGTGGGATCTCTCCACAGCCAGTTCTGCAGAAGGATCTATGCAGTTAAACCCAGCACCGTGCTGTGCCTCTTCATTCACTGTTAGGGGTAGATTGCCAACTTGAATAGCTTTGAGCAACCAACATCCACTGAGGTGATGAATGAACAAATTCATTAACATTTAATGGGGGCTGGGGTTGTAGCTCAGTGGTAGAGCGCTTGCCTAGCATGTGGGAGGCACTGGGTTCGATCCTCAGCACATAAAAATAAATACATTAAATAAATGTATTTTTAAAAAATTTAATCRGATGAAGAAATAAGTCTCATCTTCATTTATGTAAGATGTCTGTCATACCAAAGCCATTTTATTTTTTAATAGAACATAGAATATTTTAAACCTGTAATCCCAGTGATTTTGGGGGACTGAGGCAGGCAAGTTTGAGGTCAGCCTTCACAATTTATCCAGACTCTGTCTCAAAAAATAAAAAAGGGCTGGGGATGTAGCTCAGTGGTAGAGGGCATCTGAGTTTAATTCCCAGTACCCACTCCAACAAGACTATTTAGGGAAAACAAGACCTGAGAGTAAAATCCCATGCATCTTCTGTCTTTTAAAATGGAATTCCTAGAATCTCCAAGCCTATGTTTTTTCTAGTTAGTCAAGAGAGTCATCCCCATGACCCCCTAATCACTTGCTTACCCTGGGGCAGATGTCAGCTATGCACTGAGCATAGCTGTGGATCCACCCCCAGAGAGACAGACCCACCGAGAAGTGACCTAATGCAAGATGAATTGTGAAAGATGTCGCAAAAGAGCATCACATCTCAGTTCCTGAGCTGGGGACAGAGTCATTTCAACCAGGGATGCCTGTGAGGGCTGTCTGGAGGGGGTGAACCAAATCTTAAAAGATCTGAATCACCGAAGGGAAGTTTTCAGGCAAGTTCAGAAAGTGTTTGCACCCCTAAATATTTGGTAGTAGGAAGGGCAGTGCGGGAAGGCAGAAGACAGAGGGATGATGTGAGGGCCTGTGAGGCCGGGGGACAGGGAACAGTCACACAGTGAAGCGTCAGGGACTAAAATCTCCTGAACTTCCACCCTGGGTAGCCACAGAGCTTTGGACAGTGGCTGACATTTCACCTTCTCTGCTACCT